GAATTCCCAGAATCCAAAAATAACAATTTATTCACAATTTTCACTTCAAAACAAAGAGACAGTCTCTGCCTTTATTCTATAGATACCTGAAACATTGATAAAGTTTGTCCTGATTGTTTTGGGGATACACCTCCAGATGTGTTCAAGTATTGCATCTGGCACCATTCCCAGGAATCATTCCTGGCAGACCTCAGGGTACCATATTTTTGCTGGAGATTCTGCCAGGGCCTGTTGCATATAAGGGCAAGCACTTAAATCCCTGTACTGTCTGTGACTGTAATTCTTATTTTTGATGGGGAAGTTAGAGTTAGAAAAATTGTTTTGGCATTCTGAAATAAGAAAAAGAAGAAACTTTCCCCAAACATTAAAAACATATAATACCAGTAATTTCTCATAACAAATATATTCATGAAGTGTACACCACTTACTAAAAATGACAGATATACATATATAAGAAATGTATACTATATAAACTGATATGTAATAAAATATTAATCTTTTTTTAACATCAAAGAAGCAGTAAGTGCTAAAAGCAACATAAGAATGCAGATATTTTACTTAAAGAAAATGTCTCATGTGGGGCTGGAGATAGTACAGCGGGTAGGGCGTTTGCCTTGCACGCAGCCAACCCGGGTTTGATTCCCAGCATCCCATATGGTCCCCTGAGCACCGCCAGGGGTAACGCCTGAGTGCAGAGCCAGGAGTAACCCCTGTGCATCACCGAGTGTGACTCAAAAAGCAAAATAAATAAATAAATAAAAAGAAAATGTCTCATGTGAAGAACTTTATTAATGTGGGGGTTCATGAGGAGGTTTAGAGCCATATCCAGCCAGGCTTAGTCCTGGCTCCTTGCTCAGGGATGATTCCTGGCAATTCTCAGGAGGCCAGATCCAGTGTCAGAGATTGTAGTCGTTGACTAAGACAAGCCCCTTAATTCCTGCATTGTCTCTCAGTTCTATGAGTGAATTTATTGAGCAACTACTATGAAACAACAAATTTTGTTTCATAAACTGTCTACAAATTTTTATGCAAAATTATAAATCTTAATCAAATGATACTCAATTTAAAACTCATGACTAATGTAAATTCCACTGAGACAAAATTAGATTCAAGTCGAGGCATAATAATTTCACAGCATGCACATACACACAGAGATACAGATAGATTGACAAAAATCTACAGCTACACATAGATAATATAGATAGAAATGGCATAGGAGGCTGGGAGGTAACTCATGTAGAGAGCACATGACTGAGTGTTCCGAGACCCTGAGATCCCATGGCACAGGATGTAGCCCTGGTGTCTCCAACACCCCTGAGACTAAGAAACACCTTATAAGGTCACTGGTGCATCACTAGTGCTCTACCCTTAGTACCTATTCTTAGAGGAAACATCACTGTTTCCATTCTGCTGGGAGTGATGATTATAAAATTAAAAATAAAATGGCTAAAGGGTGCTTGCTGTGAACACAGTTCACCCAGATTTGTTCCCCAGCACCCCATATGGTCTCGCAAGCCCTGCAGAGGTGATCCCTGAGTGTAGAGCCAGGAGTCAGCCCTGAGTACAGCCAGGTGTGGCCCAGAAACATGTAAACAAAACATAAAAGTATATAAAATTGTCTTTATCATTTTTGTCACAAATCTTTTTTTCTTAACTTATTGTTGCATATAATTTGTAACACTTTATTCTCTAAAAAATAATAATTTTTTTTAAAAATTGAGGGTTGATGTTACCAGGAATAGAATGTAGGGCCTCACACATGCAAAAGAAAGACCACATTCCCAGCATTCCCAGCCCCTCAAAACATTAAAAAAATAATTAGCGTGTTTAAAAACAAAATCATTCACGCTAATTTAACTGTAAAATTAGTGTTACTTAATGGTTTGTGTATCAGAGTTTCCAACCTGGCATGTTAGGCTGGATAGCACAGCGGGTAGGGCATTTGCCTTGCATGCGGCCGACCTGGGTTCGATTCGTCCGTCCCTCTCAGAGAGCCCGGCAAGCTACCAAGAGTATCCCACCCACATGGCAGAGCCTGGAAAGCTCCCCATGGCGTATTCGATATGCCAAAAATAGCAACAACGACTCTCACAATGGAGACATTACTGGCTCCCACTCGAGCAAATCGATGAACAACACAGGACAACAGTGCTACAGTGCTACAGTGCTACGAACTTCCTATAATGGCTTTTGTAGGCACAAATGAGGCAGGACAGAGAGATTAATAGTAAAAGAACAGATAATACAGAGATAATACACTTTCCTAGACAAGATTAGCAATTTCCACAATGACTGAAATGCTAACCCTCAGAAAGCAGCAACTCTATGCCCTGAGTACTAGGTCAAGTGAGACTTAGCTCAGCTGACTCCAGATTGGGCCTTTGTTTCTATTTAATAGTGGCTTAAAGAATTGTTTCTGTTGTTGTTACTATTATTTATTTTATTTGGGTTTGGGGATCACATCCAGCTGTGCTCAGGGCTTACTCCTGGCTCTTCCCTCAGGGAGGATTCCTTACAGGATTTGGTGACCCATCTGGGTTGCCGGGGGTGGCACCTGAGTCAGCTGCCTTCAAGTCAGACTCCTTTCCTACTATACTTTCTCTCTGGCCCCAGGGGAAAACATTTCAAGATAAATGGGTGTTTCTTAAAATAAATCACTGAAAAGAAATGTGTTGTTGGTGGTGTCTATTGGCAGGCTGAAGACAACATAAGACAGTAATAGAGAAAACCCTTTGTATAAAGATTGTGCTGAAAGACAAGCAGGAAGCTGTTGCTCCTTCCAAAGCCGAAGCCAAAGCCAAAGCTCTGAAGGTCAAGAAAGCAGCGCGAGTGGTGTCCACAGACACAAAGCAATGATCCACACATCAGCCACCTTCCAAAGATGCCAAACACAGCAGCTGAGAAAGAAGGCATCCCAAATGTCCTTGGGAAGAGCGTCCTCCGGAGAAATAAGCTTGACCATTCTGACAACACCAAGTTCTTTCTGACCACTGAGTCAGCCATAAAGATAGAAGATAACATGATTGTTTTCACAGTGGATGTCTGTTGGAGTACAAGGGTCTTAGGTTTATCAGGTTGCACCCATCACAGTGCTCCCAAGTCACTCCCACTACTTTGTTTGTCTGTGATCACTTCTATGCTCTCTTCCCCAACCAATTTGTAAGGTCTCATCCTTTTAGGACATTTAACTTGCACTGCAAGTTAATATTCCTTTCTCCTCTCCTTATGTCTTTTGAATAGTTTAATACAATGTCCTTTTTGTATAGATGCAGGAAGACAATATTATGCTTTATAACTTAGGATTTAATTGGCCTTGAATATTATTCACTCCTGGGCATCTGCTTTCTCAACTTAAGCCTCAGTTGCCCTCACTTCCTAGCATCTCAAAAGCAGGGTCCCGACATGGGACTGGATGGAACCAGGGCAAGCCGGTAAGTTATGTGCTACCCTGGCATCGTGATGGTCCAGGCCAAGGTGCCACAATTCTTAACTATATAGGTTAAGAGTTTGATCATAGGCAAATGCTGTCATGATCCAAAAGTAACAACAAGACTAGGACCCTGCTGCTAAAAATAGGAAAGATATCTGGCCTGAGCACTGCACTCTGAGATCAAGATGGCCCTAGGAGAGCAATTCTATAAGCTTAAGGTATTTGTTACTGTATCCATACAAAATGACTTATATTATATGTGCTTATATGTTGATCAGACAAGAAGAAGAGAAACACATCCAGGGAATTCTGTTCTAGTGCGAGTTGATCTGCTATATGAGAATCTGTCCTAGAAGCAGTCTTCCCATGTGTCCTGACTAGCTTGGATGAGACTGAATATTTCTCCCCTTCATCTGCCTTCAGTAAGCAAGAGGCAGCTTCCCTTATCTCACAGAGACCTTACTGTGGAGAGGCAGCTTCCCTTATTTCACAGAAACCTTACTGTAAGAGGCAAGCTAGTCTTTGAGATGTAGATTCCAAGCTCTAGCAGGCTGGTCCTCAATATGCTAATCCAAGTGCTTGTAGTTTGTGAAAGGTGAGGCCAAGATTACTGGCCTGCAGATGTATAGAAACAATGTATGTTCTGCCATCTCATTGTTCTTTCTGTAACTCCTTTTGATGACATCACTATATTGCGCACTTTAGAGGTATCGTGATCTATATAAGGGAGATTTCAGGACTCTCTGGGGAACACGTGCCTTAGAGAACCCGGGAACGTGTGCATTAGAGAACCTGGGAAGATGGGGCTGAGGACAGAAGCTGAGAGAAAAAGGGAGCATGTGCTTGAGAGATCCTGGGGTCTCTATGACATACACTTCTTCCATGTAATAAACTGCTGCTAAGACCAACCAGCCTGGCCCTCATTTCCTTCCTTCACCTGACCATTGCCATCGACCTCCCTGGAGTGGGGAAATGGCCTGAGACGACTGAATGCAGGCAGCGGGAGAGTTAGGTCGCTGCCATCCCCCTTGCCCGTCCTTTTGTGTGTGTGTTTACACATATGTCAAGGCCAACAAGCGCCAGATTAGACAGGCCCTGAAGATCTGTGTCACTGATGTGGACAAGGTCAACAACTTAATCGGGCATGGTGGAGAGCAGAAGGCACGTGTTCTGCTGGTTCCTGACTATGGTGCCTTGGATGTTGCCAGCAAAATTGGGATCACTATACAGTTCAGCTGTCTAAGCCTAAATATAATGTTTTTTCACCGTTAAAAAAGGGGGTGGGGAAGCTGGAGTGATAGCACAAGGGGTAGGGCGTTTGCCTTGCATGCAGCTGACCCAGGTTCGATTCCCAGCATCCCATATGGTCTCCTGAGCACCGCCAGGAGTAATTCCTGAGTGCAGAGCCAGGAGTAATCTCTGTGCATTGCTGGGTGTGGCCCAAAAAGCAATAACAATAATAATAATAATAATAATAATAATAAATAAAAGTATTAGCCATATAATGGAGTCAACATTCGGAATTGTAAATGCTAAGAACAGTAATGTATTCAATTCAAGACTAGCTTACCTGTTATACTATGCTGAAAATTAAGCAACAATTTATATTTCATAAATTTTCACACTTTATAAATAGAAATGTTTTATAAATGTATATTTATAAAATATTTTAAGTCTTTTAATTAACATTTTTATATTTTATAAATAGTTTTATAACATTTTTATAAATTGAGCGACAAGAGCGATAACACAGTGGTAGGGCGTTTGCCTTGCACGCAGCCAACATGGCCGACCCGAGTTCGATTCCTCCGCCCCTCTCGGAGAGCCTGGCAAGCTACCGAGAGTATCTCGCCCGCATGGCAGAGCCTGGCAAGCTCCCCGTGACATATTCGATATGCCAAACACAGTAACAACAAAGTCTCCAATGGAGACGTTACTGGGCCCGCTCGAGCAAATCGATGATCAATGGGAGGGCCTTACTTTATTTACTTTACTAATAAATGTTAAATATGTATTATACCATTTGTATTTGTATGCAAATAAAAAGGCAGAATAAGTCATACAGAAATACAAAGACACTTGTCATATTTTTAAGAGTGTCTAATAAACAAATATGAAATGCTTTCACTTGGAAGCTCAAACAATGTTAATACAAATGAGAACGTTGAGAGTGTGTGAATATGAAGATGAGGATAGGTCTAGATATCAAGAGATGGTAAAAGATGAGAGTGCTTTTGAGTATCGAGAGGGGAGAAATTCAGTCCACAGCCAGAGGAGGGCAGTCTGGTTTAAGATAAAGGCCTTTGGGTAGGGCATTCTGCCTTACCACCCAGGCAGAAATGGGTGGATTCCTGGTACCCCACGTGTGCCCCTGAGATGCCAGGAGTGATTCCTGAGCACAGAGATTGGAGAAAACTCTGAGTACAGCTGAGTGTCACCACAGCCCCTGTCCTCCAATTTTTTTTTTAATATAAAAAGAAGGCTTTGTTCTCATCTCCCCTCCACTTCCCCTACCAGAGAATGGGGTTGGGGGTGAGGATAGGGGGACTGGGGAGTCGCGGGGGAGATGAGAACAAGGCCTAATTTCTTTAGTCCTAATTTTTAAGGTGAAGGAAGTTTTGGTCTAATGTGCAGGGTCAGGTGCCCCTAAAACTTTGACCTCCCTGTGTCTGGTTTCCTGAAGGATTGGGCCTGGAACTGAGTATTTTCAGTTCCACCCCGTGACTGGTGGCACACCCTCTGACTTTTTTCTCTGATGCTTCTGTTCATAAATTTGTTTGAAACCTAAAGTGACTTCCAGATTACTCCTTTTATTGATTTAGATTTGTATCCCTTGCCCTGTTCCCTCTCCAATCAGGACTGTTGCTTGAAAGGTCCCATTGAGGGCCTGAGGGAGAGGCAAAGCCTGGATGGGCTCTGGAGGGTCCTGTTCATAGACTCCATCTGCAATAACAGACACTGATGCCTGCCCGGCTGCAACAATGGAAGAGTGCACAGAATGTTCCTGTCCCTCATGCTGGTGCTTGATGTTCAGTTATGTTCAATTTCATACCCGGCTGGTATTAGCTTTTACAATTTAAACATCAAGTATCAGGATATTGTGTGTCAATAGCTGGTTTTTGTCTTCAATCTGCCAGGGCTGACCACCACCAATATACTTTATTTTACTGAGTTACCCTGTGATAAGTTACTTGAAGAACACTTATTTAAAGTAAAATTTACTGGGGCTGGAGCGATAGCACAGCGGGTAGGGCGTTTGCCTTGCACACAGCCAACCTGGGTTTGATCCCCAGCATTCCATATGGTCTCCCAAGCACCACCAAGAGCAATTCCTGAGTGCATGAGCCAGGAGTAACTCCTGTGCATCGCTGGGTGTGACCCAAAAAAGCAAAAATAAATAAATAAATAAATAGAAATAAAGTAAAATTTACTTCAGAAGTATAATATATAGTACATTCATACAAATAAATTATCGTTTTTTTAAAAAAAAATATCTTCCCCACTGCTAAATAGAAATGAAGTCCCAAAGTGGAATAAATTGTTAGACCTAATACCTAAGGAAATCAATTCAAACTAAAGGACTGGAATTTTAATCTGATCAGGGTAAATCCTAATTCCTAATCCTATCTAGAAAGGTATTCTCTCAAAATAGTCTTTTCTTTAGCTAATAACCTCATGATCCTGTCTTATTTCACCCATGTTTGTGAAGATATTATTGTGTTAATTATTACTATTTAATTAATTACCCCTTAATTAATTATCCCTTAATTAAGCTTTTAAGCCCAGGAACACTGATACATTTGCTGGATGAGACGTTCTTGATTGATGTATTTATTTATTTTATTAAGACTGTAACCTCAAAAGTCTGGTTCCACTGTTCCTCAGGGTCACCAATCCAGAAACTTGGTAGAAGTGGGCAGGGTGGAAAATGACAGTCATAATGAAGGAGGTTTTCTCAGTTTCCCTTGTCAGTTGTAAGGAAACACTCCATTTTATATTTTTATTTTAGATAGGCAAAATAGGTTTTTGTTTGTTTGTTTGTTTGTTTTTTTGGGTCACACCCAGCGATGCACAGAGGTAACTCCTGGCTCTGCACTCAGGAATCACCCCTGGTGGTGCTCTGGGGACCATATGAGATGCTGGGAATCGAACCCCGGGTTGGACACGTGCAAGGCAAACGCCCTACCCGCTGTGCTATTGCTCCAGCCCTGATTTTTATTGAATGAAATTTTCTTAGAAAGATGTGAAGGGCGAGAAGGCAATATGTGTTCTCTCTTGAACACGTGTTTCTCCAGAGTGGGGAAAAAAAAGAACAAAAGTGTTCAACGGAGAACACGGGCTTCGAAGAACAAGCCAAGACACCCCATTTAAACCACCTTAAAAAACCCATCACTATGTTATGCTGAAATCCACTGTACTCTAGATTTTATTATTCCTCACACAGTCAGTGATATTATTTTAATTCTTCACAGGCCAAGGTAGGGAAAAATGTCAACAATCATTCTCAGTCAGAACACGTAAATATTCCTAGCAGGCAGAGGACATATAAACAGTTTTCAGCAACTTTGATCCACTAGCAGAGCCTACTTCCAAACACTGGGCTTAGTTAAAGAAAAATATGGCCAGTGCCACATAACAGATTAGTGAAATATCTGACATTTTTCTCAAAATTCAATCTGGAAATCCGAAGATACCCTAAAATCTGTCGGGCAACTACAATCAGCCATAAAGTAGTGGTCCAAGCTAGGACTACTAGGAAGAGAATCTATAAAACTGAGTCACCAACCTTCCCTTTGTACTCTCTCTGATGGCCTTCCCATTCAAGCATCCTTCCTGTCTCTACTCTCAATAAACCATTACTTCTTGGCAACTGTTCTTTCATGTAGTCAATTTTTGGTGGGCCTGGAAAATCCAGGATTACTGGACATCTCATTCACACCAAACTTTATGGGCAACAAAGTTCTCAAAATAGCTCTTTTGCCTGAAAGGTTACAAGAAGAGATTTTTATTTATTTATTTATTAGGGAATTTGGACCACACCAACTGGTGCTCAAAAGAGTGTCACTTCTAGCTTTGTGCTCAGTGTTTGAGAAAGCATGGGGTGTCTGTGGTTGAACCTTGACCACCTGCATGCAAAGCATGTTCTCAACGCTTTGAGCTGTCTTTTCAGATCCTCAAAAGAAAATTGTATTGAAGAGATGCATGCTGAAAGCAGACTATAAACTGAACACAATGACTGCTCAATACCTCTATTGCAAACTACAACACCCTTAAGGAAAGAGAGAGGAAAAGGAAATGCCCTACCGCAGAGGAAGGGTGGGGTTGGGGCTGGGGGGAGGTGCTACTGGGATCACTAGTGGTGGACAATGGGCACTGGTGGAAGGATAGGTACTCAATCATTGTATAACTGAAACCCAAACACGAAAGTTTCTAAGTCTACAGCTGTACCTCATGGTGTTTCACTAATTAAAAAAAAAAAAAGAAGAAAGAAAAGTGTGTGTAGGGGTGAGGAGGATCAGTGAAAAAAATAGTGTATCAGATAAATTTATTGTTTCGAACACTGTCAGCAGAGGTTCAATCTCTATTTACACATAGGGTCCCTCAACACTGCCAGGCAATTACAGAGCACAGCTGGGTGTGGTCCAAAAACCAAACAGAAAAGGGAAGAGGGAGCACAGTTTTAGAAAGGGTGGGTTGCAGGCTGTGTGCCTGGGGTGATCAATTAATTCTTTAAAGTGATGGTTTCCCAAGGGAATTTCTTTTTTAACTTTTTAAAATTGATTGTAAATTACAATTTGTTAAAGATGGTTTCTCATGCACATAATTCCAGTACATTGTACCTACCTCCCACCTCCAAAGAACCTTAGCACCGTTCCATTTCAAACCCCCACCAACACTGAACTCTGTGGATTAATTCTTTAGTTGTGTTGCCTTAGACCTTTGTTAACACTTTTCTGTATATTTTTAAGTCCCACACATGAGATCTGTCTGTATCAATTCTTTTTCCCTCTGATTGACTTCACTCAGCATGATAACCTCTAGTTCTATCCATGTTGTTGTAAATTGTACGATTTTGTTCTTTCTTTGAGCTATGTAGTATTCCATTGTGTAAATATACCACAATTTCTTGATCCAGTCATCTGTAGTTGAACATTTGTGTTGTTTCAATATCTTGGCTATTGCATTAAGTGAGGCAATGAACATAGGTGGGCATATATCCGTTCAGAGTAAGGTTTCTGTGTTTGGGGGATAGATGCCAAAAAGTGGCATTGCTGTTAGTTCTATTCTTATTTATTGGATTGACCTCCATTTTTTTCCCATCAAGGCTAACACAGGTGACATTCCCACCAACAGTGAATGAAGGGTATTTTCTGACCACAACCCCACCGACATTGGCTTTTGTCAGACTTCCACTGTAATGGCAAAACAGATTTCTGATTATGTTTTACACCCTCTTCTGCTTTAGAACAAGAAAACAGGTCTTTTTAATATCTGAAACCCTACCTAAAGTGATTCTGTTTTCTAACATTGAACTTACTTCTTAAATTAAGCTTGAGTAGGAGTGGTTTCCAGGTTCATTAGA